ACAAATATATATTTATGTATATATATATGTGTGTGTGTGTGCGTGTGTGTGTGCGCGTGCGTGTGTGTGTATATGGAAGTACAATTACCACGAGTGTGTGTACATATGAGGATACTAGTGTACATTAGAACGATTGGTAGAAGTATTACCTCCAGTACGACACAGTGGCTATACCTTCACAAACAAATTCCAACTAGCACGCTTTAAACAGAAAATAACATCGTCGATTAACGTACGTTCCAGATCGCCTAACCCCCCCTAACGCATTGCTAACCATGGTCTCTGGAGACACACAAACCCTTCACGGCCATATTGCATACAAACATCAGCAATGGATACAAGTACAACATAGAGACGGATGAATGTCATATAAAACTAAACCTCCATGAAAGATCACTCACTTTGGACTGGCTATACAAACACATTGCCTCTCACAGCCATTCGTCATAAAAGAGAAAGAGCCATTACACCGTGGGAAGTACAAATCGTAAACAACAACAGTGCTAAACAGATGTTAGTGCTGAATAGATAGTTAGTGCTGAACAGATTGCTAGTGCTGAATAGATAGTTCGGTAATACAAACACCCACATACACGCAAGTGTTGACAAGACAGTCTCTAGAAACACAAGCCGACACGAGAAATATTCATACAATCACGGGTCACTCAACATATAGAGTAGCATGGCATCTAGGCATGATCATAAAGGTGTATCTGAGTGTAGTTATGTATTCCATACTATAGGTCTGCACACCGACATTTGTCATTTATGAGAACATTCCCGAGTAAATGCAAAACCGCTATACGGATACGGGCCATTGTGAGTTGTATTTGGTTGTCTGTGCTTAGCACTAGTTATTGTTGACACTTATCTAACTATACCATATAAACGAACACACTTATATCCGTACTACACATTGAATAGCAAGGTACGGTAGAACGCCACTTACGCATTGGTCAGAATGGCCTTTGGATATACACAAAAAGCCTCCACAGCCACAGCCCGTTGTGGGTCGTAATGCGTAGTCAACGCATTCTGCGCGGCATCGACAGTGTCGGTGGACATATCGTCCCATTTACGCTTGCCGTTTGAACGATGCCGAATAAGCTCTGTCATATGTGAAGGGATGTGTGCCCGTGTGAGTATGGTGTGAGTATCTCGTGGGACTGGTTTGATATTTAGCTTTGCCAGTCCAAATTTTAATTTTAATGTAAGACAACCCAATATGCATGCATACAAACATGAGTACATATATATGTATTTACACACACATATATATATATATATATATGTGTGTGTGTGTGTGTATATATGTATATATATATATATATACAAAGCCAGAACAAATGCCTGCACATATAAAAATCGAATCCGTAAAACTGCCAAACATATCAGACACGTCCCATCCGTATGTCCACACATACAAGTTCTGTTTCACGCACCTTGCAGAAACCCTCGCAACCGTTCCAGCAGTCGATCACGTGCCTGTCTGAATGTGGACTGTCCTGTGGCTGACATTTTGCCCTTCCCATCTGATTGTTCGAAAATGGTTGATGGCAAAAAAGTAAGAAGCTGGTGTGACTGTTTGGTACGGACTATAGAAGACGGCGGGTGTGCGTAGTCGCGGTACTAATCAGCGTGGAGAGGAGAGGCACATTTGTGTGTACATTTGTATGTACAGTTGTAAGTACATTTGTATGTACATTTGTATGTACATGTACACTGGCACAGGTGAAGGCCTATAGGCTGTACATATACACCCGCATCAGGACTTGCATGCAGGACAACGGCTGTATACATCGTCACTCAACCCTGATTCTACAATGATATCGTGAACACCAATACACTCGTACAAGCAGATGAGTGCATCCGCCCCTGTTAAGACGTTTCATATCGTCACATAAGTATACATGCATCAAGATGTCACCTCGCAATATACACATAAAGACGCATACAATAGAATTGCAATTGCAGTCGGAGATGTGTGGATTACCCGAGGGCAACAGAGTGTGATGCTGGGCAAAACAGAACAGTACTGTGCGCATACAATTGATGGGTCCGCATGCACGTGCTCAGGGCATAGGTCAGAGTTTTAACACCATAGATGAGGTACAGCTGGTTGACAATACACACAGAGAGAGTTATAGGCACACACAAAAAGAATCCATACAAGGCTACAGGTTACCACGCCGCCTACGAACTTGTATATTCGTACGTTATAATATAAGGGAAGGTGTGGAGAAATATATATAAAATAGATATAACTAGTCACTTACACGTGCCATCTGATCTACACAACCAACACACAGTGATGGATAGATACATACACCTGCACGTACCGTTCATGCCCTGTGATGGTTTTTCAAGCACTCTCACAAAATTCAGCAACAGTCCCTTGCAACTGGCCGTCACTAACGATGGCGAATGGTGCAGGAAGATGTCCAGGAAGTCCTATGTGTGGCATGAAAAGAAGACGTACAGATGAGTATATACACGTGGATATATACATATTAAAATGTACATATCGAGATAAACAGGTAAAAATATAGATACGAATACGTACAGATAAGCACAAGATAGGCGCAGGAGTACAAATATGGGTTGTGGGTTGTATATACAAGCACACGTGAATGTATTGGCATACAGTCAACCTCATAGGAAGCGTATAGAACAAAGGCGTTTGCAATTGCAAGGACTCCTGTGTGGCAAGTGCGACGATGTAAACGATGGACAGTGGGCAGTTAAGTAAACACTCGGCCCATGAGTGCGTCAACAGCTAGCCAGCCAACCCACGGCACACACACTAACATATATACATAGTACAGAGCTTACTAACATATATATATAGTACAGAGCTTACTAGAATATATACATAGTACAGAGCTTACTAACATATATACATAGTACAGAGCTTACTAACATATATGCATAGTTCAGAGCTTACTAACATATATACATAGTACAGAGCTTAGTAACATATATACATAGTACATTGCTTTGGTCAGTGTATGCCGCGAGTGCAATGCGAAGGGGTGAGTGCAGTACCAACGCCTATGGAGATAGGTACTCCAATAGATAAGCAGCGCATGCGTAAACGGATTTCTAAATACAATTCCGGTGCGTATTGAAGTGGGTGCTATGTAGACATGTTGTGACTCACAAACACGGGACAACGAACGGTCACCATTAAACTAGTAGTGAATACAGCACCCCAGCACAGACAGCCGCTACTCGACTGTGACCAATGTGAAAAACTCAAGTCTGGGTATAGCGATACGTATCAGCATGTGAGCTCATAAACAACAGGCATGATAGTTTGTGCACTTGGTATATCAAGAGACGCTCACACGCTGTACGTATATGCATGTGGGCTCCTAAACAACAGGGATGATAGTATGTGCACTTGGTATACCAAGAGACGCTCACACGCTGTAGGTATATGCATATGGGCTCATAAACAACAGGGATGATAGTATGTGCATTAGGTATACCAAGAGACGCTCACGCGTGGTACGTGTGTGCAGACGAGCACGAAAACAACACCTACGAGATACTAGCATGTCCTTACAGTACGCAAAGAGTTAAATAGCACGTGCTTACAATACACAAAGAGTTAAATAGCACGTGCATACAATACACAAAGTGTTAAATAGCACGTGCATACAATACACAAAGAGTTAAATAGCACGTGCTTACAATACACAAAGAGTTAAATAGCACGTGCTTACAATACACAAGGAGTTAAATAGCACGTGCTTACAATACACAAAGAGCGAGACTTACAAAGGCGGCCACGCTGATATCCTCACGCACATGTGTCATGGCACTCCGCAGATACACCATCGGCACGGGGAAGAAGGGCCGCACGCGCTGCATAGAGACGAGATACAAATGGGGACATTCAGTTGAAAAGAATAGCCCAACAGCTGGTGAATACGGTATATTCAGAACAACTACAATATGAGGTATTGATCGCCTCCGTGACAGTGGAGTGAATACCGTGGCAGTGCACAGTATGCAACCAACGACCACCACATCAGCTGTATGATTGAGTGTGGGTTAGCGATGTACGTACTATATATCCATAATGATATACAGTGCATAAGCGTTCTAAGTAAGTCTCATATAAGAATCGATTGTACCCTTTATTATATA